ACCTCCAATTCCTCTACTTGCTGGTGAATGAAGGAAGGGAAAAGGAAAAAAAATCAATTCAAGGCTATTTGCAGCTGTTTCTGGGTGAGCGTGTCCGTCTGTGTGTGTGTTTTCTTTTTTCCTGCCCTGGTGTCCTAGAGCTCTGAAAAGAATAAAAACAGAGCCCCAAAGCACTGAAAAGGCAGGATTCTTCTTAAAATCCCAGCTAATCCTGCAGCTTCCTTTAAAGGGGCAACAGGAGGAGGCGGGGAAGGGACCCGAATTGTTTTTGCAGCGCCCTCCCCTCTCAACCACTGCTCCTGGAGACCAGGAAACAAGGGGAAAAATCCATAAATCACCCACTAGAGTAGGACAGGGGAAGGGACAGGGCAGGCGAGAGAGCAGAGAGCAGGGCTGCTGGGCAGGAAGCGGGGGCAGCACGAGGGGCCTTGGGGCCATGCGGGGCAGGACCCCCCAGCCCAGCCCCATGCTCCGCTGTGAGCCCGAGGGCGGCCAGGACAAGGACGCCTGTGTGCGGAGCCCTGGGGGCAAGGAGGCTGCCCCACGGGGGTCTCTGGCCCGGCCATGCCCCTGCATTCCGCTGCCACCTTTGCCCTGGTCGCCTGTGAGAGCTTCCCTGTGCCCAGTCCTCCACACGCAGTGAGCAGCCAAAGCGTCTTGCAGGATGAAAATCAGGCCCTGTTGGCCTGCTCCTCCTCCTGGCCCACCCGTCACCAGAGCCTGCACGCTGGACCTGCCCACTCCCTGTGAGATTCTTGCCACCATCTCCCTCCCCGCCCCCCACCCCACTTGTCTTGCCTCTTGAGCCCAGTGGACCCTTCCCACTGCGACCTTCACACGGCTGTCTGCTTGGCCAATGCCGTCTCAGCCTTCCCTTGGAGGGTGAGTACCCCTTTCCAGGAAGAAGTGGCTTCTCCTTCGGCTCAACCTCCCACTCCCTCTCCGGGCGGGCTGTAAACACCACAGCGTGGCTCACTCACTGAAGAGAGTCCCTGGCCTCGTGTGTAGCTCACAGGAGGTGTGCAGTGAGCATCTAGGTAGAAGAAATAGCTCGTTTGGGGACTGGAAATGCAGGTGTGAGGTGTTCAGGGTCCCTCAGAAAAGCTCTCATTGCAAAACATGACTGTAGGTTTTCAAGGTTCGAAATGGTCCCTGCTTTGGGGACAGCAGTTTAGATGTTTCTTGTTATATGGCAAAATTTGCATGGATTGGTTTGCTAGATTAAAGTAGAGCTCGCAGCCTCTTCTGTAAAGGATCCAAGAATGAATTTTGTAGGCTCTGTGCGTCATGGTCTCTGTGGGAGCACAGAGGCAGCTGTGGACAATGCATAAGGGATGGATGTGGCTGTGTTCCGATAAAACTTTATTGACAAAAGTAAGCTGTGGGCCAGATTTGCTCACAGTCCTATTTGGCTCATCCCTAGATTAGACTGAGGATAGCAAAGTCCCAAGAGACACATAGTAATGACAAAGTTTTTTCAGGGGTCATCAAATAAGTATAGCAGGTTCTTGGGAATAAATGTCACAAGACCATAGTGGTGTCGTGTGCTGTAGGATGCTAACACAGAAGGAAGCTGTAACACCTTGACTTTACCTGTAATTACTGTTTCACAGAATAAAAAGCACCTTGGCTACATCATTCTCACATCAGCACTGTGTTCACACAAATGGGGGGTTCCAAGGTCCTGGGGGCTCTCCAAGGCCCACTTAAGTGTTGAATATGTGGGTGGCTGGGGGGTGAGGAGAGGATATTTTCCAGAATGATTACAAAAGGAGGCTTGGCCAATAGCTGGATGAGAGTCAACTTGGGACAACTTGGGAGTCCCGGAAGTTGTGAGACCCAGGAAGTGCTAGGACAGGGGCAGAAATGGGCGGGGTAAATTTGGTGGATGTATAAAGAAAGAGAAACACAAGGATAGAACAGAAGCAATCTCTTCTAACCGGACACCTACGTGCAAAGGGAATGGACCTAGACCCGCCTTCCCAAACCACTTCAAAATGGATCACAGGCCTAAATGTGATGTGAGCCCATGAAAGCCCCGGGAGACAGCAGGAGCAAACCAAGATGACTGTGTGCAGTGCTGCCGACTTAGACGGCAGCCGGTGAAAGCAAGAGCCGATGGGCTGGACTTCCCTGGCAGTGAAGTTCCTGCCCTGCCAAAGTCGCCACCAAGAGAATGAGAAGCCAAGCCACTGAGTGGGGGAAATGTTGGGGAAAGACGTGTCTGATGCAGGGCAAAGAACTCCTCCGACTCAGTATTACCAAGAAACCCAATTATAAAATGGAACAAGGACCTAAACTGACGTCTCGCCAAAAAGAATGTGTGGAAGGCAAACTGCGAGCACACCAAGACCCTCCGCACCGCCCGTCAGCGGGGCACGGCCTCATTGGGAACGGCTGGTGAGGCGGGGTGCGCCAGGACCTCCCCTCCATGGCTAGTGGGAAGGCAAGATGGCCCCCAGCTGCCAGACAGCTCAGCAGTCGCGTCCAAAGCCAGAACCCCCGTTACCCTGAGATCGGCAGTGACACTCAGGGCCGTTACCCCGGAGAGCTGGAACCCAAGTCCACACAAAAATCTCCAAGTCCTGGGTGTCTTCACCGTCTTCAGGAAGGTCCGGCCCCAAGCTGCGCTACTGAAAGAACCGTTCTCACATTAAGTAAAGTGTTATTCGTGAAGCAAACTTGCACTTGCAGAAAGCTGTGTGAAGAAGGCACTGACGCCCCACATGACGATGCTGCTTGAGCGCCAGCCCGGATCTTCGACCTGAGCTCCAGACCTGAATCTCCCCATGCACGCGAGTCCCTGGGCCATGTCACCAGCAATTTGTATACAACACATCATTGTGCCTGTCTCGGTGGGGTCACCGGCCAGCAAGCCACCGAAGCTAGAGACAAGGAAGGGTCTAGATGCGCAATAAACATCCGAGGCGCTTAGTGGTGCCTTCCCAAGCCCCAGCTCTCCTGACGCCAGCCCTGGTCCTGAGCCTGGACAAGGGCAAGGGCCCAGGGAGCCTGGACCCCAGGAAGACGCACGACTGGCTCGTGCGAGTTTCGCGTTTCCCTCAGCAGTGTCTCCGAGATGCAGCTGCAGCCAACACCGCTGGCCCACCGCGGGCTAACAATTCCATGAGCCAGCCCACAGCAGACTCAGAGTCCCAGCACGTTCCCAAGGGCTGAGTGGAGCCCAGAGGCCGGGCCGGGGGCTCAAGGCCAGCGCGGTGGCATGCCCACGTCCCAGGCCCAAGGCCGCATCCAGGTGCTGTGCTGTGACCAGCGCCTGGCCCAGGGGGCCCCGCTTCCAGGTCTGCAGTGTCACCGCAGACGCCAGAGACACCGGCACGGCACCTCCTTCCCCTCACAAAGCTCCTCCACAGCTCTGGGCTGGAGGAAAGGCCGTGTTCTCTTCAGCTTTGGGTCCCCACTGGCGGATGTGAGGACGGAATCACCCGAGCTGCTTCTATCCTTATAAGGAGACTTTAAAAACTAAACCCCCACGGCCCGCACGGCCCGAGAGCACACAACAGACCCGACACCGCTACTCCCCCAGACGCCGACACGTCCTCACAGCCACTGCAGGGGAGCAGCTGGGAGGCGAAGAACCCAAGGTCACGGCCAATGAGCGCCAAGCCTGAGATCTGAACCCCCCGGACCCCGCTCTTCAAGCCTCAACCATTCACCGCCTTTTAGGTGAAGATCTGCAAGGGGCATGAAGGGAGCGTGCATGCACAGCCTCGAGCTGCAGTGTGACCAGCGTCTCTGTACGCAGAGAGACAGAAAAACCGCCCTGTGAAGCCACCACAGAGACCAGCGTTGTCTTGCCGAAGGGACGAAGGGACACAGGGTGTCCACCCTCCTCTCTCTGGCCCCGGGCACATCTGTGAGACCTTCTCTTACACCCCTGGCTCCTCACAGCAGTGCGTGGAGGGCGGGGGGCGGGCAGGAGGCCTCTCAATTTCTCTTCTGCGCTCTCCTGACTTCCCTCTGCAGCCGGCCGGCCACCCTCCACGGCTGCAGTTTGCGCTGGCATCTGCCCGCCACTGTGGGAGCCGAGGGGCGCAGAGCCGAAAGCTGCCGTTGGCCCAGGCCTCACCTCACCCTAGTCACTGGCTTGGAATAATGTTTCTGAGCAGTTGCTGACGACAAGCAGGCAGGCCAGGAGCGGCAGGGTGACCCAGGCATGCGGAAAGCTCCACCCTCCTTTCCACAAGGAAAAAAAAACGAGCACAGAGAAGAAAGCGGATGCCACCCACCTTCAGCTCAGGGAAGACGGCAGGGAACAGTGAAGACTGTGGCCAGCCGAGAGCCCCCAGAGGAGGCCCGCAGCGGCCAGTGAACGCCGTAGCTGCGCCTGCAGGGCCGCCAGGGCTTTCCACCTCCCACGGGAAGCCAGAAACGCATCTCTCTTTCCATGTGAAACCTGATTTCTACATGTTGCCAACCGATTCCTCCCTTCCTTTGATGTTTTTATGTTTAAATAAAACACGCGTGAGCTAGAGCGTTCCGTGGGCAACGCACTCACAGCCTCTGAGAGCCCTGGAGGTCACCCAACGCCACCACACTCGCCCACACCGCGGCCCTTCCACGGGCCAGGTCTGGGATGCCGACGAGCGGGCAAGGGCCGCCGGCCCCAGGCCGGCCAGGCAGGCGTGACCCAGCACGCGAGGCTGCCCCAGGCAGGGTCCTGTCCACAGACTCAGGCAAGTGAGGCCTCGGGTCCGGCCGGAGACAGCCAGCGCGGCCTGCCCCCTGCGTGCCTCGAGCACGTGGCCCAGCGACGAAATATCCAGTGGGGAGCTTCGCACATTCCCTGGCTCTCCAAGCACCTAGCTCCCCTTTTCTTGCCTGGTGAGGCCAGGACAAAGCTGGGTCCGGTCGTGTTGGAGCAAAGAGAGGCAGAAGTGGGGAGCCCTGAGGCGTGTGGCCGAGGGGTGTGGGCTTGGAGGCAGCCCTGGGGCACTGTGCAGGCCCCTGCCTCCAGGGCAGAGCCTGCCGCCTCTCACCTTCCCTGTGGACTTGGTCCCCTTCCAGATGCAGAAGTAGCAGATAGTCCAGGCTGCCAGGAGACACAAGGCCAGCTCCCCGCGGAGGTTCCCGATGTGCTCGATCCCGTCTGAGATGGCCAGGACCCGGCGCCTGCGGGTGGGACAGCAAGAGTCAGGGGGCTGGAGACGGCTCCCCGATCCCCACAGCCCCTACTGCGGCACAGCCAGGGTGCGGAGGGCAGGGATGGCCCCTCACGCAGGCCCCCTCTGCCAGGCATCTCCCTGGAGCCAACCAGGGTGGGGTGTGGTGGCTTCGAGAGGAGACAGCCGCCGCCCGCTCTCTGGGTTCACTCCACCAGGGAGCAGAAGGTGGGTCAGCAGACAGTTTTGGGTGCAGCGTGTAAGGGGTGTGATGGGAGACGCCCAAACAGCGCCCAGCACACCCCAGGGGCCCAGGTGACAGCAGGACACCCCGGGCACACTCCAGGCTCCGCCCTCACCCGCCTCTGAACTCCAGGCTGGCCCTGGGCTTGCTCGGCCAGAGGCACCAGCCTCTCCGCAGCTCTGCCAGCCAGGCGGTGAGGTCACTACTGGTGCCTCCGTGGCAGAAGCAGGTGTCCAGGCGGCGTCTGCAGAAGCCTGAGCTCCCGAGGGACCGCGAGAGCCCTCCTGCCACCCCTAGTCATGCGATGCAAGATGTCGTGTGAGCAGGAAACACACGTTGTTGCTCTGAGCGACTGAGGCCTCTGAGGACACTTGTTACCGTAGCTCGCGGCCCTGTCCTGACAAACCAGCCAACCCGGACGGTGGCGGGAATATAGCCAGGAGCCAGGGAGTGAAGACTGGATTTGGTCAAGGTAACAGAGCAGAGAGGAGGGCTTGGGGTGCCTGGGAACAGGGACCAACAGGAAAGGCAGGACGGGCACGCAGAGGCGGCACCAGTCACAGTCAGAGCATCACGGCCAGGGCCCAGGCCATGGCAGAGGGACCCCCATGCCTGCTGAGTTGATGCCTCCAGCCACAGCCCCCCCACCCCTGTTCTCCCGGGTTGACACAGGCCTCGCCTGGGATCCGTGTTCCTTAGAGTCAAACTTGCCGTGCTCCACACTGTATGGAGGCCAAGGCCCCGACACCGACGCCCCCACTTGGTTCATGAGTCCCACTCTGGCTGCCAAGCCCCGGTACCATGCCAGTCACAGGGACCCTGCAAAGTGCTTTGAGAGAGCAGCCTCCACCCCATCACGCACGAAAGCCTCCCTCAGTGTCTGTCTCCCTGGGAATCCACTCAGGCCTGAGTCTGCATTCATTGCTCAATGACACCAATTAGCACTGGTCTGCAGCCCCAGTCCTCACCGGAGAAGTCAGGGAGGCCCCAGGCAGAGTCAGGCTGCAGCTGTGGGCTTACTGGAAAGAAAACCCACCAGTCCTTTCACCAAGAAGGGGAACGTCCTCTGATACACATATTCACTGAGCACCCACAATGTGTCCCGCAGGGTGTCAGGTCCTGAGGATAAAAGGAATAGCGGGTAGGGCTCCCCACCTTGACGAAGCTGGGCAAAAAGGAGGCCGAGGTAGCCCAGAGAGCCACATGCTCGCTGGCTGCTCCCGTCCTTCTCTGGCCGTGAGACACTTGAACGCGACAGGCCTTATGACGTGCCGCCTGGAGAGCACCTATTGTTATAACTGAGCGGTCCTGCACCCCATGCTGGGCCCCCTGAGCGTGACTCTGTGGAGTGGCTCCCCAGGAGCCCCAGTGCCATCTGCCCAGGGATTCCTGGGGGGTCTTTGGGTGTCACAGTAGGGTGTCCTGGCAATGTAGCAACCCCACAGGAACCCCCCCCCACACACACACATAGCCAGCTGTAGACACGTGTGTCTATGCATAGGCAGGTGTGTGTGCATATATAGATGTGTGTGTGTGTGTGTGTGTTGTTTCCCCCTTCTTAGGGGAGGAAGTCATAGATCCTTTGAGAAGCTACTGAAGGGCTGGGCTTTCTCCCCAGAGGAATTCCCTGATGCATTCACTCACTCGCAAACTTCTGCAGGATCTTTGGGGTGCTCATCAAAATTCCCAGTGAGAAGCCCGGAGCTGACATGTAGCTCCCACCTGACAAACTGTCCTCCTGCACCCCAAGGTCCAGATGACCATGGGCCCAAATCAGGAGAGGCCCGTCACCCCCCTCGGGAGTCCCCCGCTTGCAGGGCACACACGCCTTCTGCTGGTACAGGTGTTTTCTGAGCGGAGAATCGCAGACTGGAAGGCTCGCGGGGACGGGGAGAGAGCGGGGGCAGACCTCCAGGAGAGCTGGCTCAGGTCCCTTCGCCTCCACATTTTGGATGCTGCAAACTTTTGAGTCATCCGCTTGCTTCAGCGCCCTCTGGCTTAATTGAACAATCTAATTCCCAGAATGGGAAGCAGACTACTAAAAGCCACGCAGGATGAATTGCTCTTTTGTTCCACCAGACACTATTTGAAAACATCCTCAAACTATTTTCCCTCGGTTTTACCAGCGCTGACTTGAGCTAGAGCAAGCGACCTTGGGCTTCTAAAGAAAGGGGGTTTGGGGACCAGGGTTTCAGCCTGCAGGGCTGTGGGGTTGTCCTGACCCACAGGGCAGCCTTTGAGCTCACGGGGCTGGAGTGCTCAACTCCAGAATCTTGGAGAAGGCAAGTTTTCCCAGCTCTTCCTGGGAAAAGCTTTCTTCACGGCCCTCACCAGGAAGCACTGGAACAGAAGGAAGGTCTGAATGAGGAAGCGTTCGCTGCCAGTACCCCGCGGCCAGAAGGACCCAGGGACAGACCTCCCGACAGGGTGCGGGGTGCTGACGGCTGGGAGGACATTTCCGAGGAGCCTCTCCCGGAGCGACACCGTATGCCCCGGGCGTCAGCACAGAGCAGACTCCCGACGCGCCTTCCACAGACCCTGAGAGCTGCCTACTGTTCTGCGGCTCTGGAGCTCTCTGCCCAGAAGCTGCCATCTCACAGCTCGCGGGCATAGCGTCTCTGCCTCGCCAGCCTGTGGCACCTTCAGAGGCGGCTGGGCGCAAAGCCCGGCCCTGCTCCTCACCAGCTGTGTGGCCTGGGGGAGGGACGCCTCCTTCTCCGGGACTCGGTCTCACCTGTCTGCTGGGAGCTTCTCCCTCTGCGGCCCTTCGAGCCCGAACTCGGCACCCCTCCCACAGTCCCTGATGAAGGTACATTCGTCCTCATCATTTCGAAGATGGGGAAACTGAGGTACAGAGAGGCTCGGTGACTGTCCCACCACGAGTGAGCGGCGGCTCTTGGGCCTGAACCCGGGATCCTGGCTCCGGCGCCCACGCGTACAGCCTCAAAGCTGGTGCCGGCCTGCTGCCCACACTCGGGCACCACCTTATTTCTCCTCTACAGTTCAAAGCGGGGGTGGACCCAAGCCTGCCCCAGCCGCCTCCGCATGCCTGTGTAGCTGGTGCAGGCAAGAGCGTGTGTCTGCACCCTGTTAGTCTTTCAGTGGCGCGAACTAATGTCTCCAGTGTGTCAGATACTGCGCTCAGCGTGCGGGTTCGCAGACCGGGGGTCTCGTGGGGGGCGTGGACAGGTGGTGCCAGGCAACAGGGGGATCTTCCCCGAACATCTGGCCACTCCGAGGATGCTGGGGAAGACCAGGGGCAGGGGAAGCTCAGAAAGATGGGGTGGGGGCAGAGAGCGGGGGGAGGCCTGGGAGGCGGGAGAGCAAGATCCGCTGTGCAGACAGAGGGTGGGGGGCAGGGGCCGAGACTGAAGGCAACTGTCCTTGCGAAGAGCTCCTGAGGAGGGCCCGAGGATGGCGGGGAGGGGGGCAGTGGCCCGAGAGGGCATCACCGCACCCTGACACCGGCAGGGGACCGAGGCCCAGGGCGGAGAAGCAGTCGGCCCAGATGGGGACCTGAACCAGGCTCTTCTGGCCGTGGCCTCTGCTTCTCTGCCTGCACAGCCTGCGGGCAGGTGCTGAGCCCTCGCCGAGAGGCATCACACCCTCTGCCCTCCCGCTGGCACCCAGCAGGGCCGGGGTACTGAGAAGGACACAGCCCCACCCCGGACGCGCCCTCCAACAGCCCCGCTCGCCACCCAGACGCGGCCGCACCGAGACCCAGGATGGGTCAGAGCGGCTGAGCCACGCGTGCCGGCAGACACACCACCCTCCTCTAACCTGCCTCAGGGGAGCGAGGCCGCCAGGGATGGGGTGGCCGCCCCAAACGCTGGCACTGGGAGACTGACTATAAATAGCCTTGCTCGGCATCCAGATCTCCCAAAGCTACAAACAGGCCAACAAGAAAGGGCCGCGACCAGGGCAACGTGCTGCCCCCCGCACCCCGCCCCAGACCCTGCTCTGGCTTCTCTGGAAAGAACCAGCGAGCGCAGAGAGCAGGCATGGGTCTCGCCTGCACGCTGGCGGGGTGAGGCTGGCACAGGCTTTGTAGGAGACGCCGACACCAGCTGACCCAGCGAGCGTGACCTCTCTGGTACTGACCCAGAGCACATGAAACACTAGCTCAGAAAGACACTGGCACAACGGTCACAACGGTCGGGACCCGGGACCGCCGGGGAGTCCGGCCGCCTGAGTCCTCGTGCCCAGCAGGGGGGCTGGATAAAGAAACTGCAGAACACACACCCCATGGAGAACACGGCCTGGGAGCACACCTTGCGGGGCACAGCCCGGAGCAAGCCACAGGGCGTGGCTCTGCTATTGAGAAAGAGGCCATCATGCCTCTTGCCACAGTGAGGATGGAGCCCGAGTAACGAGAAGAGATAGAAAGTGAAAGGCAATTGCAGAATGGCTCTCCCACAGGCGGGGTCTCCATGACCAAACACACTAACAATCGCAGCAGAAATAACTCCTGACTGAGAAACAGGGCTGTGCCCAGAGGGGTGGGGAGGGGAGGGTTTGGGAGGGGCCGCACCCGGTGGGAGTGGCGGGGGGGGGGGAGGAGGGTGGCGGGGCTGGTACGGCGATGGCGCCGGGACTCGGCCCTACACGCGCAAGGTGTGAAGCGGGACTCCCGGAATCACAGTTTCATAAGCGAGTGGCAGGACACTAAGATCTGGTTAAAAACAAGGCCGGTGCACCAGCATCTGGGATTGGCCAGTTACAGGGGTTGTTGGGGGAATAGGTTTGTGAATAAAGATGTGGTTCCT